CATATGTTTATTGAAAAACACAGTGTCATTGGTATGCCATAGGTAAATTTACAATTGTGGTAGCAGAGAGCCCTACCTACACTTCTGTTGCCTCTGTTTCATCCACCCCATCGAAAAGCAGCTGTTACAAACGTTGGCTCTTCTTGTATACGGTTGGTTATGTGTGAAGAGAAAAGAAAGAGAGAGAGAGAATAGGAAGGAAGGCTGAACAAAAATTTATCCTACAGAATATGAGATGGTGCAGTGAGAATGACGGGTAGACAGTACTTCTGCCCTTTCTGGGAGCCTAGGACAGAGTGAGGGAAGGAAAGCGGCTGTCCTGTCATGGATAATTAATGGCTTCCGGAATCAGTTCCCATCAGTGCAGGTATAAGATAAAAGTTCAGTGTATCTATTTCCCCTTTATAACGTAATATGCTGAAACAGATTGCAATAGTGAAATGCGGAATATAATGAAGCATTTCTTTCAAATCATGCGTAGCCCTGGATTGTGGGTGGGTAATGTTTGAATTGTTGAAGGATGCCAGTTAGGCTTTAGAACAGAATCCTAGCAAAGTGTTTAAACCGGGCATGGAGCAAAATTGTTTAGCGGGCCAGACCAGCTGTAAATACTGAGTTGCTAGCCACCCTCGCCCTTTTCTTTCTCATTCCCTCCCTGTGCTAAGAACTCATTGCAGCTGAGGCTGCTTACTGGGTGGAGGAATTATGTGGGGACCAAGTGTTCTTGTTCCTGGCAGTGCCACCACTTAAAAATAAAGTATGGTGCCCTGGCTAGGCTCACTCCAGCTTTAGCTAAGAAGCATATAGTTGGGAAAGAGGAATTTCTTTGTAGCAATCACCCGCACATCTCCCAGTGCAGGGGTAAGCCACATGCAGTTCATCAGCCACATGCACCCCCTCAGGGCACTTTCTGCACCCACCAGCTCTCATGGTTCCCCAGTACTCCCCCCAAATTTGAGAAGGGAATGACTTGGAAAGTCTTTTTTTGACTTATAATTGATACGTCTCTCAGCAAGGTGATATGTGACATAGTCCTGGTTTTCTGTCTTTCAGAATAAAAGCCCTGTTGGGTCAGACCAAAATAAATTCTCCAAATTTGGTTTTCTGTCCGGCATAGAAGACTATAAAATTGACTATGAACATTTACAATCAGTGAATTGTTGGTTAAGGAGGTGGTGGTTTTCATAACACAGACTTTTTCTTAGCAAGTTATGGTCTTGCAAGTTCTCATCTGAAAGGCTATAAAGCCTATATGGAGCTGTATTCTTATTTGAAGGTATGCCTCCACTTCCAATTCATAACACAGACTTTTTCTTAGCAAGTTCTCATCTTGCAAGTTCTCATTTGAAAGGCTATAAAGCCTGTATAGATCTATATTCTTATTTGAAGGTATGGAGAGAACCTTGCCTCCACTTCCAGTTTTGCTCTTTGCTCTACCAGGTCTCAGTTTCTTTATTTGGATTCCTATCTATCAGCTTCCTCTGATATCCAGTAGATGGGGATAGAACGGCGCAGATGTCCATTGCAGAGCTTGTCCACACTGAACACATCTGCTCTTTGCACCCATGATACCAGTACTTTCGCTGTTGACTCGAGACTGAAACGGATATCAATAGTGGCAAAACAGGACAAATAGTCTTACTTTCCAAGTTATTTTACACCAGTACTAGACAGCAATGCATTTTTATAAATTGTTTCACATTGCTCAGGTTCACCCAGTGAATGATCGCCTGATGTAGACCCTAGTAGCACACTGATTCATCCTGTTCTGTGCTGTTTGTGCTTGTACGTAAGATGATATTTACTTGAGGGTGTATTTCCACTGGTCACTCCCTCATCCCTCTGCAGCTTAGCTCACTCCCACCTGTTTTGTTTCAAAACAACAGCCTTTCTCCTGTTTCCTTCTTCTTGCTTCATTCTTCCAGTTCCCCAAGGGAATTGGGAATCAGTCGGAAGCTGCTACAGTTCTGTAATCAAAATAATGTCTTATAATAGCACTGGGATATCAGCTGTTACTGTCTTGACTATTATTCAGAATAAATAAATTTAGTTTTTCACTATGGCACCTTATATTGAGAGAGGGGCTAATGTTTCAAAATGTTGCAAGGTTGTATTTTCGTTTCTCATTTTTGCAACTTGAATAAATGCTTTGTAATTGTGCTGTGTGCATGGCAACAGGGACATGAGGGTTTTCTCAGAAATTATCTTGTTCCCTTTTTGTGCTTGGTTGCCTTTCCACCCCCAATTCCCCCATATTTTAAAGAGTTAAGTGTCCAAAATTGCTAATTTTCCAGTGATCATAGGAGGGCAGTGAGGCTCTGTTGCCAGTGGAACAGGGGAAGCTTAATAGAAGCAGCAAGATTTATACCCTTACATGGCAGAGAAAACAAAATAGGCAACCCCATAGCAACATGTCATCACCCACATAGAATAAGTGCCAGACTGTTATTTAGCAAAATCAGCTGACAATAGGAATGATGTTGCTCCTGAAGAAAGTCACACATTGATCAACTATTTTGACACAAAATGGGGGGGGGGGGGGGGGGGCATCAAGGAAAAACAG